CTCTTCCCTTTCCTCCCAAAGCACAGTACCAGCTAGTAGACAGGGCTCGCTCACCCGCCAATGAGAGCAGCCACCTCTAGCAAGTAGCACAGCAGCTGACAGCAGCACACTGAGGGGCAAGTCAAGAGAACACTGCAGGGGCAGGGGAAGAGGGTGCTTGTTTCTCAACCCTCCCCGCCAGGTCTCACAGCCCCACTAGAGCAGCCAATGTGTGCTCTAAGCTGTAAAACATCAATGCAGGGGGAGAGGAAAGGAGAGGATATGCCAGGGTGAGAAGGGGTCATGGCCTGCTGCCAGCTGTCAGAAGGACTAAAGGGACCTGTCCCTGCCAGTCTAAATTAAGAAAGTGCATAGAAAGAACATGGCTGTAGCAAATCACCTGGCTCAACACACAGGGATGTTACCCTACTAACAGTTACACAGCCTCTGGCATTGGGGCAAAGCATTTGCTGGCTGGGACTGGGGAGAAAGTTCTTCTGCCTGTACTATTGCCCTGAGACATTACCAGCTCTTTACACCTGCCCTGAATGCTCTGGTGTTGTCAGAATCAATTTGGCTGGTGCAACAGCCTCATTTTCTGTGGTGATTCCTATGACAGGGGAGACCAAATTGGCAGCTGCACCCACAAAGGGGGCAGGCACACCAACTATGAGTGCACTGCTATGACTACAGCTGGAGAAGACAAATGAGAGCCTGCCTGCCAGAGTCTCACCACTTCGTGCAAGCAACAGGAAGAGTTTGCCTGTTCCACAGGGCATCAGGGAGATGCAGGCATCCCAGGCCACTATGTTTGTTTCCAAAATCTGCCTGAGGAGAAACCAGAGACTGGGAACGAGAAGGAAGTGACAACCTGGGGGTGAGAGAGGACAGTTCCTGAGTGTCAGGGAGAGATGCATAAAAACTGGAGTGAGGAAATAACTGAGGTGAAGTGTCCAGCTTAGTGCCCAGGGGAATAGAAGGAGTAGCCCAGGGGCAGTTCTGACTGTGCTCCTGGAAAGGTGTGGACACCTTTGCTTAGCATGGTCTTTACCTGCAAAATGGCACGGGGAGACTGGGAGTTGTACCACAGGGGGATCCCAAACAAGCTCAGCAGCGCTGTTTTCCTCTCGTAGGTCTCTGAGCACCGTGTGTTAATGACACTGGCCCCTGGGAGCAAGAGAAACAGAAGCCGTGAGCCCCCTACAGCCTGCCATGCATCACAGCAAAGCTCTCCGCACATACATCTTGGGGGCTGCTGGGAGATAGGGGAAGTGGATGTGCCAAATAGAACGTGAGGGAGGTATCTCAATCCAGCTCCGAGTCACTGGTGACATTTCAGGTACACCTCCCCTCCCCCCCAGATTTCTGTGCTGACAGCAGGGTGCAGGGTACAGGGCTGTAGCCTGGCCAGTCAGGGCTTGGCAGCAGTATGATTTCTGTGCCAATGGCATGGGTGGGGCTGCAGCCCGGCTGGACCCAAAAGCCAGCAGCAGCAGGAGCAGCAGCAGAGGTGTGGAGTTGTAGCCCCCACTGCGGCACTGACGTGGAGTTGTGCGCCCCTGCACTGGCAGCACTAATGTGTTGCCTATGCTCCCAGGGTGCGATACAAGGAGTTTCCCATGGATCCTGTTGAGCTCCCTCCTCCCTTCACTATGGCATGCTC